GCTCCAGGAGGCTTCCTGCCCGCTCAGCACTGTGCGCTGCCCTCCACACTGTTACAAATGAGACGAGACTGAGGCTCAGAGAGGTGAAGTCACTCTGCTGTGGAGGGGGAGTCAGAATTTGAACCCAAGTCTGTCTGATGTCAAACCTGTTCCTTTAACCTCCAGCAGACATGGCCTCCAGTAACTCTGAGGTGGACCAGCAGGAGCTGTACCCACAGGTTCTGCTTTCTTTGCTCTGAACCCTGTCTGGGGGATGATACCCTCCCCCGCCTACCACCACTACCAGGAGCTTGGAGCCAGGGGAGACCCAACCTACCTCAGAGAACCTTCGAGAATGCTTCAGGAGCTTGATCCATAGGTGGCGAGTGTGGGGGGGATGGGTGTGAGACACGGGGATGTGAGAGGTCTGAGAGGCTCAGAGGGCTTCCCACGGGAGGGGAGCTCCAGTCCGCCAGCAGCTGCACCACTCCTTCCGCGGTCCCATGCTGCCCCCATGCGGACGACAAGCTCACATTCCGGACTGGGGACACCACATCATTCCTGGGCCAGGGGCTCCCCAGAGGGAAAATCAGTGGCCTGGGCTGTGAAAGCATACCCAGTGACCTGAGGAATGGGCTGTACCTCCAAACCTCTGCCTGAACTGTCCTCTTTCTTCTCGAAAGAGCCTGAGTCCCAGCCTGGCATTGGATGCTGCCCACTGCATTTCCTCCTCCCAGGAGCTTCGAATCCCAGACTGTTGGAGGGAAGTGAACTTAAGAGTTGTATTTTCCAACCCTCTATCCCATGTTTCAACCTCCATACCCAGTAATTCAACTGCTGCTTGCACATCTCTTATATCAGGGAGCTCACTACCTCTGGGAGCAGCCCACAGTTTGGAGGAAATTCTGATTGCAGAAATGACCCTCGTCCACAGAGCTGGTATTTGCCTCCCTCTGTCACAGCTCTGCCCTCTGAGGCCCAGGTGGCCTCTCACTTAGGGATTTCTAAGCAGATTCAAAACCCAACCCAGTGCTTAGGGGCCTCCACTTCTCTGCCCCCCAGGCTTCTCTCCTATGGATAAAACATCCTGGTTCTGATAACCCACTCATAGTCCCTCTTATCTGTGCACACTGGGGGTCCCTGACTCTGAAACTTCAGGACTGAGGGGATCCAGCACCCCTTAGGACTGTCACTTCCCTCCATCCTGGCCCTCCTTTGCATCCTGTCCCCATTTTTACCATTCACTTGCCAGTGACATTCCTTCCCTAAGCCCTGTCCCCCTCCCCAGAGGCCTTGTGGGGAAAAGGCATGGATGGGACCAACAGTGATTGAGCACCTAATGTGTACTGTGCACAATGTTCAGTGCTTTACTCAAATTACCCAGTTTAACCCTGCAAGGCAATTACTATTTTTATTCCCAGGTTACACTCAGAACAGAGGCTTAGAAGGCAGAGACCTGGATCCAGTAGAAGAGCTGACTCTAATCTCTGAGAAATCCCTCCAAGCTGACTGGCCTCTTGCCTCACAATTCTGCCATCTGCCTGGATTTGTGAAATATGTACACTTAATTCCTCAAACATTTACCAGGTCCCCACATGCACCTAGGACTATGCCAGGCATGGCGAAAATAACCCCAGATGTCTCCGACCCTGTGTCTTCACTGAGGAGGCCCCACTGGATCCCACTTGGGCTGTGGTTGGGACTGTGGCTCTGGACAAGGCCTGGACAAGACAATGCCACTGCAGGCCACACAGCTCAGGGAGATCACTTTCAGCCCTGCCCAGGCCAAGGTTGGTCTGGTCGCCAAGGCCTCACATCTCTTAAGAGTCCTGGTTGATAAGACGCTCTGCTGAGTCCAGCTAGTGGCTCTGCCCAAGACCACACCAAAGAAGATGGTAAGTGGACCCAGGCCTCCACGTGGACTTGAGATGGGGCAAGAGCTGCTCTCTCACAGAGGGTGGGAGTGTGTCGACCCCAGAGGAAGGGTTAAGCTCCTCAACTTTTTTGTGTCATAGACTCCTTTGACATTTGATGATGTTTATTGACCTCTTCTCAGAATAATGTTTTTTTTAATAATTTTATTTATTTATTTATTTTTCCCTCAAAGCCCCAGTAGATAGTTGTATGTCATAGCTGCACATCCTTCTAGTTGCTGTACGTAGGATGCCGCCTCAGCACGGCCGGAGAAGTGGTGCGTCGGTGCGCGCCCGGGATCCGACCCTGGGCCGCCAGTAGCGGAGCGCGCGCACTTAACTGCTAAGCCACGGGGCTGGCCCCAGAATGTTTTTAAACATGTAAAATAAAATAGGATTACAAATGATTTTCATGAACAGGGAAAGACGTCCATAAATTATGATTGAATGAATATAATCAGGTTACAGAAGAGCTTGTATAATAAAGTTCCATTTACAAAGAGAAAAAGAGAGAAAGAGGTAAGTAGGTAGGTCAGAGAGGGAAGGAGAGGGAGGGAGGGTGGGAGGGAGGGAAGGAAGGAAGGAAGGAAGAAAACTATCCCTGTACATGTGGCTGGCCCTACCCTCTTTCCCACTTTGAAAAGCATGGAGGCTAGTGGCACCAGGTCATGGTCCCCTTTGGCCCTGTCCCACGACCCTCAGATCACAGCCAAAGCTCCTCACTCTTGTCACTGCCTCCCCCCTTCCCTGGCAGCCAGGATTTCACCCTGGGCCTATCTCTATAGCAGCTCCAATGGTACTGTATGGCCATCATCTATCTGTGAATCTGCCTCCCCTGTCAGACTGTGGCTCTCTGCTCACTGCTTGCTCTGCCACCGTCATAACAGCCTGGCAAAACTGAATCTTGAGCAGGCGTCACTGCTCACTTTTTAGGAGCTGTGGGAGCTACTGGCCAGCTGGAAGGCCACACAGTGGGGCAGCCTGGTTCCTTTAAGGTCGTCACAGTCTCCTCTGCTGGCCCCTACCCTGCTTGCTTCTCTTTCTCAAGAGTGTAGCAAACCTTCTCCTCCTGGTCCCAACCTCCGGCCCCAACTCTCCCACTCCTTGGGCTGAGGCCCTGACTCACCAGCAGGTATCACACCACCCCCACCTTCTGCAGTCCCCACCTCTGCCCACCAGCTCCTCCACCTGTCCTCAGCACCCATAAAAGACTTTGCTCCTGCTGAGACACCTTCCTCTCTGGCCTCAACTGTTTCTTTGTTGGCACTAGGTCACCCCGTCAGCATCTGAGTCTGTTCCTCATTCTCCTAACTCACACCTGCCAGATTTCTCTTCCCCTTCTCAGGAATGCTTCGGTAAGGAGTCATCTGCATGTCCTGCCTCCACATCCTCCTTTCCCCTTCACTCCCAACTCTCTGCAATATGCTTCTGTCACTCCATAAACCTGCCTTGTCAAGGAATGTCCATCCAGGAGGTGTTTATTAAGCTCCTGTTCTATAACAAGTGCTGTGTCAGGCAATGGGAAAATGAAGGTTACCAAACCAGTCCTGAACTCATGGGGCTTCTGCCAATGGGCACAAGCACAAGCAAATAAAGAACATAATTAGAGTCTGGGAAAGTTCTATGAAGGAAGAAAACAGAATGAGAGGACGCAGAGTAACTGGGGAGATGGAGCAGAGGGTCTGTATTTTAGATACGGCAGTCTAGGGAGGACTCTCCGAGAAAGCACACCACCTAAAGAGCAGGGAGAAGGTGGTCCAGGTGGAGGGGAGAGCAAGTGCAAAGGCCCTGAAGCAGGAACAAGGCGTTTGTGTTTAGCAGGAAAGAAAGAAGTCTATGGGTTTAGAGAGAAGTGAATGATAAGGAGAGAGTTGCCAGAGGTAGGCGAGGTAAAGAATTTATCTCCAAGGCAAGGGGAAGTCCTTGCAGACTTTAAATGACAAGATCTGACTTGTATCTTAAAAAGTGTCCTCAGGCCCCACTGCTGTGCAGAGAAAGAAGTGTAGGGGTAAGCAGTGGAGAGGGCAACAGAGAGTTGTTAGGCAGCAACGCTTACTCATGTTTAATGTCTAATTGGCATATCACATTTAATGCAACTAAAAAGAAAAATCTGGATCACTGGTCCCCTCAAAGCAAAGCAACAAAACCTCTGTCCCTCCCCCAATCTTCTCCATTTCTGTAACAGCACCGCCATTCACCCAGATGTTCAAGCCAAAAACACACAGGCTACCCTGGCCTCCTTCCTCTCTCTCATCTTCCGCATCCCAAGTTCAGTTTACTCTCCTTCCTTATCCACTCCTCTCCATCCCCGCTGCCCCCTCAGGTCCAGGCGCCATCACTCTCCACGGTGTTCTGCACCAGCCTCCTCATAGCTCTCCCTCCTCCTCTGCCCTGCACAGTCCATTCTCCATGCAGTAGCTGGGAGCTCGTTTTAGGAACACAAATCTTCTGTCACTCCCTGCCTAACATGCATCCCTGAAAGACTCCCCTCGCCTTCCGGACCCTTAATGAGACCTGGACTCCAAGAGGCTAGCCCAGGAGGAATAGTAGAAGGGAGACGGATGGGTAAAACCTGAAGGGGGCGGGGCCAGGCTTGTTGCACTTCCTTCCGGTCTGGCTTGTGCCCTCTCTGGCTTCGGAACCTTTCTTCCCGGCGCTGGGGGAAGCTTTTCCAGTAGTACCTTCCGGCCTCGACGACCCTATTCCCCGTGCTGCAGCGCGGCTTTCCCCTTCTTTTTCCGGCCCGAGGCGCTTCGGGAGCTGCGGGCTTCAGTGAGTGCTGGCTGCGCGGTATCCAAAGCCATCCGCGACTCCCGGACGGCGGCGGGGCGCAAGCGTCGGGGAGGACAGGGAGACCGGCTGCGTGGTTGTGGGGAGCGGAGGCCGCGGGGCAGGGGTGGTGCTCCTGGGTTCTCAAGGAGTGGATGGGAAGGGGAGAACGCGGATTTGGGGGAGAGCGCAACCTTGCGGCGGGGGCGGTTGGTATCGCGGCACCATCCTGAGTTTGGGAGGCGGGGGCTGGCGTCGGTTCGTGCACAGTGAGTCGAGGCGGGTGGAGGCCAGAGATGCAAGGCATCTGATCTGCAGCCTCATTCTGGCTGTGGCGTCAAGTCCTTCCATATCAGGGCGGCAGAGGTAGGCCCGGCCCTAATCTCCCCCTTGTCCTCCAGGTGCAGACATGGCCAAGTCCAAGAACCACACCACGCACAACCAGTGTAAGTTCCCCTGGCCCAGCCTCCGTCTCACGCCCAGCCCCTACCAAGGATTAGAGATACCGAGGCTGAGTTTGTTTTCAGCCAGTTTTACCTTTGGGGTTAGAGGTTTAGAAGCCAGGGGTCCACTTGAGATACCCACGGTGCTTTGCATTCAGTGATAAGGGGTTTCCCGGATCTCAGGAAGACCTACTCTGGGAAGTAAGCGTTCGCCCAGGCTTGCCAGCAGTGATGTTGGGAGGAAATCTTTTTTTCGTCTCATTCCTATTCTTCCCCACAGCGCGAAAATGGCACAGAAACGGCATCAAGAAACCTCGATCACAAAGATACGAATCTCTTAAGGGGGTGAGTGTGTGCACTGAATCACCTAGAAGTGTGTCTTTTGGCTCCAGTTGCATAGTCGCGGCCTTTCGTGTAGCGTTTTCTGGCTTCGGCATCTGCCTGAGCACCGTTATTAACTGTGCTTGTCTTTCTGGGACTTAAAGCTGCCAGACCCACAATAAAGCTTTACTTGGCCTTTCCCAGCCCAGGATGTAACCCCCTGGTCAGGTGTAACCTGCCTGCGGAGGGCAGCTTGTTTGATCATCTGTCTCCATTCCTCACCCAGAGCACTTCAAGGGAAGGAATGGCCTTGTCTGTATGTCCCGGTAACTTGTGAGCCTTCCACTCCACATGGACCAGCCATATGACCTTGATCTGATCCAGTGCTGGGCTTGGGGGACACCTTCCCTTTCTGTGCCAGGGAGTTCTAAGGATTCACTGAGAAGGCTGAGGGGTCAGAGCTGAACTGAGCCCTCTCCCCAGTTTGCTCCTCCCCTATACCCTTGGTACCTGATCGGAGGAGTGAATCATTAAATCGTTAAGCCTCGGTTTCCCCATCCTAGTCTCTTATTCTACCTTATTTGCTGTGAAACTGTTGTACCAGGCTTGGTATTTAACTGACACCTTTCTTTAAGGGGAGATTGGGGTGGCCCTGGGGGTTTCAGAAGAAACACAGCTGAAGTCCTGCAACCCTGACAGGCAGGGCAGCCTTCATTTGTTCTTGCCTTCTGCACTCGCATTTGAGCTTTCCTGGGCTCTGGGTGTGTAGCTCTGAAAATGTGGTCTGTGGCATTAGCAGTGTGGAGTGTTGGCTTTTGGGGTCGTGGTACATGTTTCTCTGCCCATAGTTTCTAAAGGTTGTATTTTTCAGCGTTTAAGGTTGACTTGATGCTGTCTAAGCCCCTAGTAGGCCTTGGCTGGAGCCCAAAACTCTTCTGGGTACTACTGTGGAGAGGGGCACCAGGGGTGACTTGGGGGCCCCCACATGCTGCACTAATAGCTGCCTGTACCTTTCTTGCCTTCCAGGTGGACCCCAAGTTCCTGAGGAACATGCGCTTTGCCAAGAAGCACAACAAGAAGGGCCTGAAGAAGATGCAGGCCAATAATGCCAAGGCCATGAGTGCACATGCCGAGGCTATCAAGGCTCTTGTAAAGCCCAAGGAAGTCAAGCCCAAGATCCCAAAGAGTGGCAGCCGCAAGCTCAACCGACTTACCTACATCGCTCACCCCAAGCTCGGGAAACGTGCTCGTGCCCGCATCGCCAAGGGTCTCAGGCTCTGCCGGCCAAAAGCCAAGGCCAAGGCTCAAACCAAGGCCCAGGCTGTGGCTGCAACTGCGGCTCAGGCTCCCAAAGGTGCCCAGGCCCCCACGAAGGCTCCAGAGTAGAGGCCTTTGTCTGCCAGTGTGAGGACGGAAGGATTGGTGTGACCCCTGGGCTGCTCTCTGCATGGGGCTGGTAGTCCTCCTGTGCGATTTGTACAAATAAACCTGAGGCAGGATCTATCAGTCAGTCTGTGATCCCAGGGCTGGGACCAGGGTTCAGGTGGAGTTGGTACCTCCATTTTGTGTGGGAGAAGAGTTCAGCCTTCTCTGGATGGTAGGGTGTGGGTGGGAGTCAGGGGAAATAGGGCCCTGGGGTGCAAGAAGGGGACCTGGTAAATGAGAAATGGTTGGGGGCCCTAGAGAAGCTGGGGCACATAACTTGCTTGACTGGGTAGGCTGCTGAGGAAAGAAATCCCAAACATCCTTGTTAGGTCTTGAAGCTTACCCAGAGGAAAGGGGAGGGACCCTGCTGGAGAATTCTGCACTCTGGCCTGAGGTGTTCCAGACTTGGGCTATTCCTTGTGTACTTGGCCAGCATCCGCTGCTCTGAGTTGTGCTGGTCCCCCAAGTGCTAGGGACCTTGGGAGGCAGGGCACTGGTGGCTCTGCCTCACTGGCACGACTGGGCTGGGCTCTGCTGTGCCCCCTGGATCGGCTGTTTCACCTGCAGTCTTAGTCCTCAGAAGAGCCCGTGAAGCATGTAGTGCAGTGGGAACAGGCGTTTGTGGAGGCTTTCTATAGAAGACGCCAGGTGGAGCACTGTTCCTGGTTACACTTAATCCTCAAAACCAGCCTTTTGGTACAAGTGGTCCTGTAATTTGTGGTCCAACCTTGGGTACTTGGGAGGCTCAAAAAGGGTTAATATTAATTATGCTGGGGCAACAGGTGCAACCCCTGGTCACCCTACCTCTCAAGTAGGTATTACTAGTATCTTTTGTTTCACAGGTGAGGAAACTTGCTCAAGATCACGGAGCTAGGAAGAGATGGAGGTAGCATTGGAACCCAGGTAGTCCATGCAGGGCCCCAGGAAGTTTTAATTTGCCCAGCTAGGGCTGGGCTGTTAGCTTTTGACTGTCATCCTAGCATCCTCTGTGGGTGGCCAACTGCCCCTCACCTGGAGGTGTCAGATAGGAGGTGGGGTCTTGAACGGGAACAGGAGCAGGTTTTGTGTCCTGAAGGTAGCTTGGCTTAGCCAGAAGTCACCAGGTCAGATAGCTTCCAAAGTGAGGCCTGTGCTCTAGGCCCTAGGACAGGGGCATGAAGACTCCTTTTCCCAGTTGTCCTGCTCCAGTCTGAAGGGGGAGAGGAGACCTCAGGTCAGGGGCTTCAACTAGGCTTTCTTAGGGTCACAGCCAGCTTGCTGGCCTCGGCCTCCAGCTTCCACACGGAGCCTGCCTTGTGTGTAGGAAGCACAAGTCCCCAGTTCTTGAGCCTCACATCTTGACTCTGTTACCTCCAAGCTGTGTAGTCTTGGGTAAGCTCTTGTAGCAGAGCTTCTAGAGTGGAGCTCAGTGAAACCTGCATCAGAGGGCTGCTATGAGGGTTCAAGGCAGCTGAAACTGGCCAAAGTCCTGGCTCCTTGTTAGAACTCCAGGAACAGGGGTTGTGACTACCAAGACTAAGCCTGCAGGCCACAGAATCAGGCTCTGGACTTGCCTTCTGGCCACAACTAGGAACTTCAGAAGCCAGCCCTCCCTATCTCCCAGCCCCATGCTGTTGGAGGTGAGAACAGGACAAGAGATCAGTTAGAGCAGTAGGCTCAGGTCTTGGGGCTGTGGCTGACTCTCAGCACTGCCTGGGGCTGTAGCAAGGCCAACAGACTGAAGCCCAGCTTATGGGCCACTCTGCACACACTGACCCGTGATTCCTGCTAGGGTGCTGCGGACCCTCAGACGAACTGACCTGGTTTACCAGTGCTCCTGCCCTTCTACGACTCGTGCTCCCAACACCCCCTTCCTGTCAGCCCGAGGCGTTGACAGATGCTAGCAGTCATGCCTTGCCAGCTGCCCCTCTGCCTGCCCCACATCTGGCAAGGGCTCAGCCAGCCTCTGGTTGTGGTCCTGTCAGGATCCTGAGTGTGCTCCCAGAAAGCCAGTTGTGGTTCCCTGAGATCTATTGTCTTGGTGTCCCCCTCAATGGGAATGGTATCCCCGACCTCACAAGTCAGATATCAGTATGGCGGCCATTGAGAGCAGGAACTATGGCTTCTTGTTGCTGGGTATAGACATGACTGGGTAGTACAGGATGGGTGGGCTGTGTCAAGGGGCACAGAGCAGCATGGGGTGGGAGGAAGTACTCAGAGCCAGGCTGCTTTTCCTTATCTGTGAAATGGGGACAGTAACAGCCTGTCCCCAGGGAAATGAGAGAATCCCTGCTCCACGAACATCCTTGCTGTTAGTACTTCATAAGCGGCCCCTGTCCACACACAGATTTTATTGTTGGGCAGGGGGGAAGCTCAAGGGGTAGAGGTTGGGCAACATGGGGGTCAGCTGTCACTGGGCAGGGCAGGCACGCTGGCCAGGGCAGGCAGCAGCCGTGTGTATATGTCAACCCCACGGAGGAACACAGCCTCATGCAGCCGTTCATCATGATCGTGCGGCAGCCTGGGTGTGCAGTTCATGGGTGAGAAGCCCAGAGCTGGGACCCCCACCTGCAGAGGGCAAGGAGGAGCCGTTAGGGGGAAGGCCAGTGTCTAGGCCCACCCCACTGCCCACGCTACTGCAAGCGGCTCACCTTGCGGAGATAGCGGCTGTCAGTGGCAGCAGGGAAGATCTCTGGCTCCAGAGTGAGGTTCCTGCAGAGGAAAGAGCCTGATGAAAGGGGAGGCGGAGAGGGGAGAGGGCAAGGGAAGGATTGAAGGGGCAAAGGAAGGTGGAAGGGAGGTGGGGGAAGAAGAGGGAAGGGGGAGAGGAGGCAGGCCAGTGCACTTACATGTCCTTGAAGACTCCACTAAATGCTGCCCACCAGGGGTCTGAGTCATCAGTAGATGTCACTCGGGGCTCCGTGAACTTCTAGGGGGAGGAGAAGGATGGTAGGATCAAGACAGGGCCTGGCCAGCTGGCCCTATTCATAGGGTGGGCTGTGCCTGGCACAGGCCCAGCTCCTACCTCCACCCCAGACATCCATCTGGCCAGTCCAGCCACAGGCCCTCTTTCAGTCTCTCAAAGCTGTAAGTGGGACCTTCCCCTGCCCTCCATCTACTTAGTTCCTGCCCATCCTTCAGATCTAGCCTGTGTCCCTTCCTCAAGATGGGTCTCCCAGACCTCTCAGACTGGTCAAATACTCCAATTACAGGTTCTCAGAGTACAAGGTCCCACCCTTCCTGGACCACATGTGTGCATACTTATATAAAAGTAATATTATAGTGTAAATATTTATGTCTATTCCCCCCTTCATGCTGTAAGGACTATGAGGGCAAGAACTGTCGAATTTAACTCCCTACAGTACTCCCCAGCACCCAACATGGCCTCCACAGCTAATGCTTGTTGGTGAATAAAATGTGTCTTTTGTAGCTATAGAAATGCCCAGACATATGCAGGCACACTACACACACACTCCTACAGTGATACACACTTGGCAAGCACAGTCTCCCCAGCTCCCACAACTCCCCCATCATAGGTCCCCAGTTGATACCTGAACAAACTCGAAGGTGACCCCCTCTCCAGCTGCCTGGCACCAGCTCTGCAGCTGCTCCTCAAAAGCCTATGAGAAGGGAGATGAGCTGACCTCTCAGGTTCTCCCTAAGCCTCTAGGATAGGACTGATAACCCGAGCTCCCTCCTCCAAACCCAGGTGGAGGTGGCACCTTCAGGTCCACATCCGGTGCTAGGCGGATGTCAAAGCTGGCGCTCAGAGTGGCAGGTACCACATTAATTGCCACGCCACCCTCTAGCTTAGTCAGGTTCACGGTGGTCACAGCCCCCAGCTTCAGGTGGGGGTTTGATTGCAGCCTGCAATGGGGGGCAGGAGCAGAGGCAGCAAGGGGGAACACCAGATAAAAAAAGGTGGCTCAGCTTCCCTCCTCTCTTGCACAGCCTCCTAGACCCTCGCCCCCTTTCCCAGGCTGCCTCACCTCTGCCTCTCCTTCTCCCGGAAAGCCAGGATGGAGCTCACAACCTTGTGCTAGGAAAGTGTGAGGTTAGATGTGAGAGTGGCCTCAGCATAGAGCCTCAGGAACTCCCAAAACCCCTCCCCGTGTGCCACGCACCAGCTTCTCTGCTGCTGTGTCCTCGGTGAAGAGTGAGGCATGGCCTGGCTTCCCAGTGCTCGTGACCCGCACCCCTGGGAGATGCAGGGGGGAGGGAGTGTCTTCAGCATGGGAGGAGCTGGAAATGCAATCAGCTCTGGAGTGGGCCCGCATCTTCCCCTCATTCCAAGCTCCTCTGGCAGGGTTCTGTCCCCCTCAAAGGGTTACCAGTGTAGAGCTGGTTTCTGCCCAACAGTTAGGGCCTACCCTCAGAAGCTCAGGAAGGAGAAGCTCAGGTAGGAAGAGGCTGGGAGGTAAAGGCCCTGGGTTCAAGGCCTACTCAGGCCCCAAGTTGCTGTGTGACCCTTGGCAGGTCCCTGCCTCTTCTGGGCCTAGTCTCCTATCTGCACAGTGACCCCCTCCCTTGCTGCCCATACTCACACCAGATGCTCCGCTCACTATAATAGACAGTGAAGGCATCAGTGGGGTTGGCCAAGCCTGAAGAGGGAAAGGGGGTTCAGAGGGTGGAGCAGCCCAGCCTCCACTAGCAGTCTCCCTACTCCATGCTGGCCGCTCAGCAGCCTGCCACCCTGCTCACCCTCATCCAGGGCAAAGCCAGCCCTTAGGGCCTGGAATTCAGGCCGCTGCACGAACAGTTCCATGCCTCCATGACCTCCAATCTCCTCATCTGTGAAAGCAGCAGGAATGTGAGATGAAAGGGCCTCCCCTCCAACACACCCTCCCCCCTCCCTGAGCCACTCCTACCTGGCACAAAGGTCATGTGGATTGTTCTGGGGAAATGGTGGCCCTCAACCTTTAGTCTCCTCACAGCCTCCAGGTACCTAAGGGGCAGTGAGAGGGTGTAAGCCAGGTGCTAGGGGAGCCACCAGATGCTTGGGCAGGCAGGCTAGAGCCCTGGACCCTGGCCCTGCTCTGCCACAGCCTGGCAGGGGACTCTGGAAAGTCCCTGTCCCTCAGTCTCCCCATCATGCAATAGTCACAGCAGGAATTTCTGCCCAAGGTAAGGGGTTAAGATGTTCGTTGGCCTTGAGGTTCTCGAATCACACCCCAGGTCCTGGGTCAATCCAATGGGCCAGTGGGGACACTGTGCAGGACTGGGAATGGAGGACACTCACTGGATGCTGACACACTTCATGTCCTGGGCACCCCGGGCATAGATGTACCCTTCAGCATCCTTGAAGGCCTCAAAGGGGTCGTGACTCCAATGTTCCTGGGAGCAGAAATGGGAAGAGCGACCCAAGCCCCAAATTTAGTCATTAATCCACTCTGGTCAACTGTGGCCCTGCTCTAGGAGCCCACTGTAAGGTTGGGTGACAGGTGGGATGGTGAAGGGGACAGAAGAGGGCAGCTGATTGCCATCCCTCATCTCTGCCTCCCACCCCCACCCCCACCCTGGACATGGAATGGCTGCTGGACAAAGGCTGCTTGAATGGAGTAATGCCATGTGATGCTGAGAGTCACGACCAGGACCAGCACTGTGGGTTCCCTGAGGTTGATTAGAAGTCTGCATTATCTTTGTCCCCAAGGGCTGCACCACTCCCCAACCACCACACACACCTTGAAGACAGGCACCACATCTGTGTGGGAATTGAGCAAGAGGGAGGAGAGTCTGGGGTTGGTGCCTGGCCAGGTCAGCACAGTCACCACACGGCCAGGTGCCACCTGGAAAGGGTCAGGAAGGGGGTAGTTGGCACAGGGTGGGGAGGTGTCCCAGGCCCACCTCCCCTCCCTATGCAGGGCCCCAGGCTCACCTCCACTTTCTGACAGCCCAGGCCCAGCTGGTGGGCTCTCTCCTCAAGGAAGGCCACCACAGCCCCTGGGAGCACAGAGAATCTTGGGGCTGTTTCTACCTACCCACGCCTTCCACTGGCCCAGGCAGAGCTGGAGGGTACATCCAGAGAGAGGAACAGACCCCGAAATGGGCTGCTGCCTCCTCAACAAAATTCCACATCCCTCAGAGACACCTGCATTTCTGTCTCCAAGGACAATGATATTTTTGGCTAATCAATGACCCTTTGTGGAAGGCCAGGTGGGAAGTCCAGGATTAGAAGCAGGTGTCATTGTTATTTTCCTTAAAGACGGGAAAACTATGGTGGTAGAGACATGAGATTCACCCAACCTCTCCCAGCTGGTAAATCACAGAGCACGGACTTAGATCCATGTATACAATTCCCAGCCACCAAGCTTGATTCCCTAAGGGCTGTGACCTTTGTCCACCCTCAGTAGGCTTCTGGGAGAGTCTTCTTCCCTTGTGGCTGCCCCAGTCTTCCCTCCCCCACCCCAAGCCCTGGGGAGTGAGGTGTTGTTGCTTAAATAGCTGCCAGGAGTAACTTTTGGAGAAGCACAGCCTCTGGGGAAATGGTTCCTCCAGAGCCGGGAGGGGCTGCTGAGCAGTCTGTTGACCTGGGGAATGGCTAGAGGGGATGGGACGCCATTTCGGGCAGCAGAGTGGGGCTCGGCTGGATGACATGGATTGGAGCCTGTTTAGAGCACAGTCCCCGCGCCTGTAGCCCCACCGCAGGCCCTGGAACTGCCGCATTCTCACCATAGTCGGGCTCGGGGTGGACGGTGCGGATGCGCAGGTACTGGCGGAAGAGCGTCACGGATGGGTGCTCGCCCTCGGGACCCTTGCTGGCCATGGCGCTGCTCGTGGTGAGCTGCGGGCAAAGCGAGTGGCTGCCTACCCGTCCCAGCTGCTGAGGCCTGGTGGACTTTATCTGCACACAGCCCCTCCCCAGGGCGGGCGGTTCCCCGTACGTCCCACAGGGAGGACGCCCTGTTTCGGAGCCTCCAGTTACAGAGCCCTGTTCGGTTTCGGGCGCTGTGCTTATTAATTCCCAAAAAGGGCCCCAAGAAGTTTCTGCCTCTGAATGCCTACTTTACAGAGGGGAAAGCTGAAGCTCAGAGAGGTTCAAGGACAGCTAGAGAATAGCTGTGCCAGGTTTAAACCCAGACATTGACTCCCCGCACTCTCCTCAAAAAAATTGTCCCAGTTGCCCGGATTTCATGCCAGGGAGCCCCAGATCTCTCCACCCTTCTACAGAGCCCCGCACCTCGCTCTCTGCTGGTCTTGGGCCCGCACTCGCCTCTCAGCGCCCGCCCGGAACTGGAGCCGGGACTCAGGGTCCTGAGAAGTCGCAGGCTCAGGACCGCCCCGGTCCGCCCACCACGTGGCCAGACCCGAATCGCAGGGCGGGACCGAAGACTGCGAATAAAGGCCGTCCCAGTCTCTACGGCCGCGTTGGTGCGGGCGTCTCCACACGTCCCTGGGTCCAGCCTCCGCCTGGTAATCTGAGGCTGGGAAACCGAATCCTGCCCCCGGGCAGCTGCCTCCGCCGCCAGTTCCCGTGGCGGACGCCGAGCTCCCGGCTGGCCCTGCCCCCGCAGGCCCCGTCCCGCCCAGCAGGACACGCCCCCCAGGCTCCGCCCCTGGACCTAGGCGGAGAGCTCCGGATGCTCCCGCCCCCAGAGGGCTCCATCTCCTACAACCTCTGGGCTGGGTCTGGACGAGAGGAGGGCAGACACTGACCCGAAAAGTCGCGGCCGCCTCGTTGGGGCCCCTTTGCTCTCAGGGTACAGCAGTGCAAAGTCCTGCCAGAGCTAGCACCTGCCTGCCCCCCTACCCCCTGCCGTGAGTCTCCTACTTCTCGCCTTTGCAAAATGCCTCAGCAAGTCAGGGAGGTCCTGCCTGTCTGCCTCGGCCCCTGCATGGAGAGGTTATTGGTTCATATCTGTCCTGCCAGACTGTGAGCTCCAGGAGGCTGGTCCAGGAACCTGCAGGATTCTGTCCCTGGCAGGGCACAGAGCTGATGCCCGGAGAGCGTGCCAGGAATGAAGGATAAATGGACACACGGGCGCCTGTGAGACCGAGTGTGTGATCATGTGAACGTGCCACTGTGTGGGCAAATCTAAGAGTGTATGTCAGTGGGTATGACCGTGTGACAATGACACAGGAACAGTGACACAGTGGGTATGACAATATGAGTGTGAGATGGTGGTTGGTTGTGACAGCACCTGTGTGACAGAGGATGTCACAGCGAGAGGATGTAATCACCATGCTGTGAGACAGTGTGAGAGGTGGGGAAACAGCACAAAAGCATACAGGTGGCACACTCTTGGCTGACCCTGTGACAGGCTCCCTGGCTCTTCCGCAGCCACGAGAGAGGGAGTTATCGATAAAGGGAGGTGTCCCACTGGTCACGCACAGGCTGCACACAGTTGTAGCTGCCCACATTGTTGTAGTTGTAGTTCCAGCTGCCTTTTATCTCTCAGCCAGTTCCTCCCTCCGCTCCAGAGGCTGTCAGCTTGGGGAGGGGCAGGGGTTGAAGACTTCAACCTCTGGGCCCAGAGGAGGCAAGCCGGGAGGGTAGGGGTCAATCCCAGCCCTCCTGGGGTTTAAGTTTGGGCTGCTGACCCACACACACACAGGGGCAAGCAAGCTTGGTGGTTCACCAACAATACTGTGTTAATTGTTAAACCATATTCCACTCCACCTCTACACATCCTGCTCCCTTTGGCCATAGGTCCTGCATTCCTGACTTAGCTCAGCTGCCAGACCCTCAGCTTCCCACCCATCCCAGTGGTCATGCAGCAGTGGTAATACTCCTGCCTCCCTCCCCCCACCCCCAGCCCTGTGTGGCCACGTGCTCCACTTACCCAGACTCATTCAATCCTAAAACCACCTTCTGAGCTAGGTGTTACCATCATGAACATTTTATAGATGAGGAAACTGAGGCACAGAGTGGTGAGCTGGGAAGTAGCCCATGTTCTTAACCTTCCCAGGCTGCTGGAGCGCTCCCTCCAGCTCCCAGCCCCGAAGCAGTTGCAGACCTGCCTCCCACTCCTGCCCCACGTGCAGCAACTCCAGGAAATAGAACCTGTCACTCCTCAGGCATGACAAAAATGCTTTTTTTTATTGTGCCTGTGAGATGAAATGAGAGGTCCTGACTGGGCCTGGCCCTCCGGCCTCTGCCCTCCAATACCGGGGGCTGCCTCTTTGGTGGGAGGCTGGTCCAGCCCCTCCAAGTTCAGGCCAGGCCTGGGGCCTGGGCCATGGGCGACCTCAAGGCAGGTGGTCGAGGAAGGCAAGGAGGACAAGGTGGAAGTCTTGAGGCTTGTGGAGGTAGCAGGCATGGCCTGCGTCGCGCAGCTTCACCACGGAGTGGTTGGGCAGGTGGCGGAGCTGCCGCAGTGACTCCGGAGCCAAGATGCGGTCCTGCTCCCCATACAGGATGAGAGTCGGGGTCTGTAGGGCAAGGCAAGAGACCGTGGTCCTGAGGCCTGAGGGGGACTGACCCTCAAGCCTCCTCCTTAGAAAATCTTCCCCAAACACCCCATTTCTTCCATCCAGATCAGGGATGGGGCTGTGTGTCCTCCAAGTGAGATCTGAGTCCTCTCCCCCCATGACTCGAGCCAGGGGCAGGAAGCCAGGACCTTTGGAGACCCTCCTCCCAGTACCTTCACGGCCCAGAATTGTTCCTGAGTGTAGTTCTGGGTGGAGGCGGGTGCGATGGGCACGAATCCATGCAGCTGGTGGCGGCCTCGCATCAGGAAGGGCAGGGCATAGCGGCCACTCAGGGAGGGGCTCACCAGCACAGCATTCTGCACCTCCAGGTCCCGCAGCACTCGCTCCAGCAACTCTGCCCGCCCTGTCTCTGTGCTTGCCTCCTTTGAAGGTGCCGAGTTCCCAAAACCTGGGAACAGCAGAAGGCACCAGCTGAGGGAGGCTGGGCAGGAGCTCAGGACTTCCTGCCCACCATAGTGGGGGAAAGAGATGGGGAGCAGTGGCACATGGCACATGCTACCCCAAACTTGCCAGAAGCCATTTTTTGTAATGTGATAGGCCTGCTAGAAAAACATCTTTCATTCATCACATTGGCAAAACTAAAAAAGACTGATAATACGCAGTGTTAGGGAAGATGTGGGGAAAAGGGCACTTTCATACATGACTGCTGGGAGGATAAGTCCATATAGTATTTTTGGAGGGTAAGTTAATATTTGTCAAAATTTTTAAAATGTGTGTCCTTTGACCCATCAATTGTCCTTTGAGCTACCCACATGCTCAAAGAAGCATGTCCCAAGATGGTTTGGCTTCATTGTTCAAGCATTTCAACTGACACTGAGAACTCTAAATCACCCTACGTATCCACTAGTAGAGGAATGGCCAGATAAAACCTGGCCATCCCTCCAGTGGCACACACTACAGAGAGGGAGGTTCATAGTGACTGGCACGATCCATAAGACATGCATAGGGGGAGAAAACCAAGTTGCAGATAGATTTGCTAAGCAGGCAGGACACCAAACATGTTTGCGACCCCACCACACAATCCTGCATATTGTCTGTAACTCTATGTATGGAAATGCCCAAGAGGGCCTGGTACCCCCAAACTGCTCAGAGAGGTGAGAGGGAGAGAAAGGTGGCACGGGTCTCTGAGGGCGTCCCTCTTGTTTGATTTTTTAACGACAAGAATGATGGCATAAATCATTTGTGCAGCTAAAAAACCAAAAAGCTACCTAGTTTGTCATAAAAAGTACAGTGAGATCTCCCCATGCAATCGCTTGTGAAGTAAGCCATGTTTCTATTTGCTCTGTGACCGGAACAATCCACACTGCAGGTTTTAAGTAGAAAATAAAATAAAGGTAGGAAACAAAAACACAGACCTTTTCATGTTGCCATCTTCTGTTGCAACCTGCCACTGCTTGTCCAGACACTGGGGTCCAGATACCCCCCAGCCACACCTTAGGGCTTTCCTACCGCTCCAATACCCCCCTTCAAGAAGCTGCCCCCCTTGTACTTGTTGCACGCTGCCTCCCTAGACCTAGGGGTCGGGGCTCTCACCTGGGAGGTCAAGGGCCACGGCCCGGTAGCCCCTCTGCGCCAGCAGCTGCAGTGTGCCCAGCTGCTCCCACGTGTGGGAGTTAAAGGCCTTTCCATGGAGCAGCACCACCTCCACTCTGTGGGCATACAGGAGAGTGTGTGTCCTGGGGGTCTGGGACTGGCCCCCTGTTCTTTCTTCCTAGGTTTCTTCCACTGTCCTCCCAGGCCCTGAGCACCCTGAGTTGAGCTGGGGTTCCACACAGGGACTCCCCTTGGGCCTAGTCCTTCTACTACACACTGGGGTCAGCACCCACCTGTGTGCCCGGTGGAGCGGGAGCACCTCGCGGTAAAAGATGGGGGAGTTGCCAGGGGTGAGACCAGCCAGGATTGTGACATTGGGGTCTCCCCAGAGCCAGGAGGTCTGCTCAGGGGGGCCTGGCAGCCCCACATACAGTAGCAGCATGAGCAGCAGGCCCAGGCCCAGCAAGGCTACCCGGGACCGGCTCATGGAGGTCTGTACCACAGTCTGGAGGAGGAGAGGAGAGGAGAGGAGTGGGAGAAGAAGCTGGGGCTGAGCCCCCACAAGGCTCTCTGGACCCCATCCCAAACCCCACCAGAAGTACCCAGCAGAGGAAAAGCTCCAGCCCTTGCCTTTTCCTCTGCTCTGGGCAAGGGTCTAGGGTTCACACCCAACTACTCCACATGCCAGGGCAAGGGCTCAGATGCCCCACAGTGTGAGAAGGAGCATCTGAGATGTCCCCTTGGCACAAAGCATGCTCAGTGACCACCATCATCATTGTGCCAGCTAAAACCAGTTCCGTTCATTGAGTGCTGATGACAGCCAGGCCCTGTGCTTGACCCTTCACTTACAAGGGCTCATGAGTCCACACAAGAACAGGGGGGAGCAGATATGATTACAGATCTCTTACAGACAAGGAAACTGAAGCTCACAGAGGTAAATTCTCTTGCCCAGAGTGCAGAGTAGCAAGTGGGGGAACTCAAATTTGAACCTAGGCTGGGATCCTAACTGCCAGGCCACACTCAGTTTGCCAAGGAGGAAACCATGGGGTTGGGAAGTGATGGATGAACTAGAGCCTTGCTGGTGGACAGAGTGGTGCGGGTCATCAAAGGTGAAAGACTATGTGCAAAGCAACGTCCCACTGAGGGCACGTTTGGAAATGATTCTTTTTATCACTGCATACAACAATGCTAAAACCAGAATGTTTTACAATTGATGGGAATATTTAGTGCTCTACCCCAGCTGATGTTAAGTGGGAGGAAGGCTCATGGAGAATATCCGTGATAGAGGAAATGCCAAGACATGACGGGATGTGGGGCCAGGGAGGACCATGGTACACCTAGAAATGGAAAGGGCAGCATAGAGGCTGGAGAGATGAATGCCGCCCCCCACCCCCCAACAGCTTCATGCCAAATGACCTGCTTCATGGAATTCTCCAGTCTGGGTCCTTCGTCAGCCCAGAAGACAGACCTCAGGACCCAGGACCCAGTGGGAGCAGTTAGCCCTGGCTTTGAGACTCCACTCTGCCATTTCCTGGCCACGTGTCTTCAGTTTGTCAGTAAAATGGGGAGAAGGATAACCTCTGGCTGCCCTCGCAAACCTCTTGTGAGATTTCAATAATAGAGTAGACTTGAACACAGGCTGTCCTGTCATCATTTCTTGGGCCTAGGATGAGCACACCTGCCTTCTTCCCAGATTCCAGTAAACACATCTTTATTGAGTGCCAACTGGGCAATGGCTGGAGGTAGGAGCTGGGGACTGTCTCGGGCCCCTCCCACCTCTCCAAGGCGCTTTGGGGATGTTTCCCAAGCCCCCACCCCCAGGCTCCCAGGTCAGGTGGTGAGTGGGCAGTGGCAGCCCCTCTGGTGCTGATGGAGAGCTAGGAGCTGAGCAGGGGAAGAGCGCACTCCTCTCTTCTTTCTGACCACGAACAGCTTCTGACATACGCCTCCAACGCGAAGTTACCCTAGGTTCACACCAGGGGGAGCATCCTCGGTGTACCTCTCCTTGAGGTGGGCCTGGGGAACCCGGGCTCCTCTCCCAGTAGGGAGGGGCGGGACTTCGGCCGTTGCCTTGGCAACCCGGGCAGCGGGCGCTCTAGACAACGATAGGGCATAGGGCGCGGGTAGCTGGCAACCGTGTCTACGCTAAGATACAAGGCGGGGGTGGGGAGCTGTACCCGCGTTAGGTCCTTGGCGTATGCATTGACAATGACACAAAGGTGTACACACAAACATCGAGTCTTGCTCCACACCCTTTTCTGCTGCATAAGCTATTCCCTGCACGTACACGCAGCCTCCTTGCACACGCCTGTGCGCAATCGATCTCTTGAAATACATACTCTCAAAATCACGCACACAGTCAGGCATTAGGAAGGCATGTGGGAAGATAGACACACACACGCTTTCAAAATCATACGCAGACACTCAAATTTCAAGCACACAGTCATACACACAACCCTAAAATCACACACGCACCCAAGAAACATACATGCACAGGCAGACAGATGGACACTCACACACAGACCCTCAGAAATACACACAAAGACACACAAGTAGATACACACCCCCAAAATCACACGCACACACAGAAATATACACAATAGCCACACACAGACACAAGCGGGCACAACAGACCGACACATCCCCCAACATAGGCACACAGAAACACTGACACACATCACACCGACACACGTACACCCAGACCCTCAAGAACACACGTAGACAAACGCGCGCGCACACACACACCACACAAACACACGCACACTCGCGGCCCCAGCGCCTGCCCCTCCCACAGGACTCTGCTCCAGGGCGGCGGGGCAAGGGGCGGAGCAAGAATGGCCCACCCCCGGGCACCCTGCAGGCCTCACTCCCCGGGGACACTCACCGGGCTGACCGGGTCGACCGGGCCAGCCACCGCGGGAGGGACCCCACCCACGCGGAACCAGCAGCCAAACAGCGCCGCGACCGTGGCCTCCTCCGCTCTGCAGGCTGCGGCTGACACTAGGAGGCGGAGAGCAGGACCACGGAGGCGCGCTTGCGCAGTCCGCAGCGCAGGCCTCGCGCCTAGTGGCCCCGAAGGAGGGGGGGACTAGAGAACGGCGCCCCAAAGCACGCAGGCCGGCCTCCTGTCCAGATTTTCCGGATTGTTTTCGGCCTGAGAGCCGGGGGGAGAGCCACCCGGCTTCTTCCCACCAGAACGTCTTCACCCTCGCTCAGTGTCTCGTCTGTCACCACCACACAGGGTTGTCTTAAGGACTTAAGGACCGGTCAAGCCTTAGAAAAGTGTCTGGCGCGGAGGCCTCGCTGTGTAAATGCCAGATATTATTGTTATGCAGCAGCTCCAGGTCTCTCAACCAGTTCCCTGACCCCTACAAATACACACCCACTCAGTCAGAGCCCGGGGTGACCTCTAGGCTCCTTCACGTCTCTTTATGGCACATATCCTGGTTGGCGACGTGTGACCAACGTCTTGTCTGCCCCCAGGCTCAGGGCTCAGCGAGGCAACCAGGCCCAGCAAAGGGAGGCTGCGCGGAGCACACAGGATTCACTCTTTATTAGCACCCTGCGAGGTGGGCAACATCAGACCCACTCTACAGGCAAGGAAATAGGCTCAGAGGCGTTGGGAAAACGATCAAGGGCACCTGGCCGGACATTGGCAGAGCTTTGCACTCAAACCTGTCGGGCCTCAACTGCGTGCCAGGCGCTCCACTCTGGGCGCAGGCAGTTCAGGCTGGAGATGAGGCGGGGTGGGGAGGAGTGGGGGAGGGAGCAGCAGGGATGCGACCCCAAAGGAACCCTCCTCCTCGCTACGTGCATGTGGGACAGGTGGCTGAGCGTTTCGGGGCCGCATCCAGCCCGGTGCTTGGGTCACGCGGGGCCGAGGGGCTCGGGGAAATTGAAGCTGCTGTGAGAAGAAAGATAGGTCTAGCAGCACCGACCGGCCCTGCGATGGCTTGTGGCCACAAGAGGGCGCCCCGGAGCACGGCCTGGCCCCCGCTCCGGGGCCACGTCCCTGCTTCCCCGCCCTGGCCCCATCCGCCGCCAGCACTCGCTTGCCTGCTGTCTGCGCGAGCCCACGCAGCTCCCCAGGTACCCGCTCTGCGCCCCCGACCCTCTCTTCCTCTCTCCAGTTAGAACCCACCCCCACCTACCTCAAGTTTCTCCCCTTCTCATCTTGGCTCCCCAGGTCCCTTCTCTCGGGTCTCCCCTCACCCCTCCCGCGTGCGCCCTACCAGGCCCAGCGAGCCAGAACTGAGGTCCTCGGAAGGGACAGAGCGAGCCGTGGCGCCGCCGGTGACCGCGCGCCTGACCGCGGCGTCAGCGCGTTGGGTCCCAGTGGGCAGCGCGCTGAGCACCCCGCGTCCCTTGCGGGCCGGAAATCCAAAGCCTTTCCCAGCTCAGCGCTCCGATTTCCGCCTCCGGAAAATGGTTTTTTTACTCCAACTCCTACCCCCTCCGGCCTGCGGTGCCAACATACGACCCTGTAACAGTGCCTTGAAGAGAAAGAGGTTGATAAACAAAATAGTCAGCTACTTACTGTTGATTGAGCACTTCCTGTGCTTTAATATGTGCTAGGCACGGTGCCAGTGTTTTACATGCGTGGCCTCATATAATCCTGTCAACCCCCTATGAACTAAGTACTATTGTATTATCCCCATTTGTAGAAAAGAATAACAACAATGAGGACAATAAGCGTAATGGGAGCCCCATGTATTGAGTTCTTTCCAAGGGCAGGCACCTTCACTTGTCAATTTTTTTTTTAACTCGTTAATTCTTGAGGTAGGCTTTACTGTCCCATATTTCAGATGAGGAAACTGAGGCCCAAGGTCATACAATTAAGTGAGTGTCGGAGGCAGAAATAACACCTATGTCTGCCTTACCCCCAAGCATGTTTCCAGAGTTCTGGGAGCCTCCTTGCTGCTCCTTGAGGGACCCTCCCCTCTCTGTGGCAGTCTCCCTGCTCCACCTGGGCAGGGTGTTCTGTGGCTCCTCATCAGCCTGGCCTTGAACCACAGGCGCTTCACCAGCACAGCGGCAGGTATGGCGGGCGTGGAGCAGCAGGAGGGCACCATCCAGGTGCAGGGCCAGAGCCTCTTCTTCCGAGAGGCACGGCCGGGCGATGGACAGGCCGCCCGCTTCTCTGTGCTGCTGTTGCATGGCATCCGCTTCTCCTCTGAGACCTGGCAGAACCTCGGTACACTGCACATGCTGGCCCAGGCTGGCTACCGGGCTGTGGCCATTGACCTGCCAGGTACTTCTGGGGCAGGCTTCTGGACGGGGGGTGTGGGGCCTCACTGGGCAGCCAGGGCTGGGGACTGTGGGACTGGGAAGACCTAGCGAGGCTGGGCCCTGAGACTGACAGGGCGCAGTGCACACGGCAAGGGCCTTTGAGCTTTTCTAGCCTTGATCCGGATGTAGTCTGAACACTGGCTAGCTGCTTCTAACTGTGTTGCCCGGGGCAGTGTCTCAGTGTCTCTGAGCCTCTATTTCCTCATCTGTAATGGAAGATAACCACACTCATTTTAGGGGTTGGCTCTAGTGAGAATGGAATGAGATTATCCATGTGAGTATGTGGCCGGTACCTGACACATCATAATTGGCACTCAGCCAATTGGAAGTGAAATATTTTGACAGAGCCATAACTACAGGCTCTGTTGGAAGCCCTGAGGAGTGAGACTGAGCCTCCTGGAGCAGGGCACGGCCTGGTGGGAGGCTAAGCCCCCAGTCATGATCCCACGTACAAAGCCCTAAGCTGGGTTCTGGGGGAGGCAGGGGCAGCCCCAGACTGCTAGTCATAACTTGGACCAGCAGGCCCCAGCCCATGGTGCCAAGTGTGGAAGGGGCAGCATGGCTGACCTGCTCCTCTTGCCAGCTGGGGCTGGTATGGTTTCAGTGCCCAGTGGGTGGGCCTCCAGTCCTGGATGGGATTGGTTCTGACAGTGGGTTGGGCTGAGCTTCAAGGCAAATGTCTTGAGCTAATCTTTCTGGGGAAGGTAGAAACTGACTAATTGGAGGGGAGATCTGTGTGCAGAGCCAGCCCCTGAGCTGCTGTCCTCGAGGCACCCACCCTGCCAGCCCTGGGATAGGTGCCTCATAAGCAGTTAACTCACCGAATTTTCACAACAGTCTTAAATGGTAGATACTTTTGTTATCTCCTTTTAACAGATGGAGAAACTGAGCAGCTGAGAGAGGGCTCAGGGGACTTTCCCAAGGTCACATAGGTAGTAAATGGAAAATTGGGACTTGTACCCAGCAGTGTTGGACTTCAGAGCCTGATTCTTTCCAGGACACTGTCCTGCTGGAGGAGATGGGTATAGACATGGAGGGAAATGCCTCACGCTTGCCACAGATATGACAGATCTAGGCTTTGGTAGGAATAAACTCAGGCAGACTGCGTGTTGCAGGAACCTGGCATAGAGAGATTGACCTAGGAGGGCTTCCTGGAGGAAGGGACCCTCTCGCCTCTGTTTTCCCACTCACCCGCCTTGTCTTGTCTATCCCACACCTGAATCCCTGCAGGTCTGGGGCGCTCCAAGGAAGCAGCAGCCCCTGCCCCTGTTGGGGAGCTGGCCCCCAGCAGCTTCCTGGCAGCTGTGGTGGATGCCTTGGACCTGGGACCCCCGGTTGTGATCAGCCCATCCTTGAGTGGCATGTACTCCTTGCCCTTCCTCACGGCCCCTGGCTCCCAGGTCCGGGGCTATGTGCCGGTGGCCCCTATCTGCACTGACAAAATCAATGCTGCCGACTATGCCAGTGTGAAGGTACTCCTATGTGGGAGGCTGAGATGCCCCTGCCAGGAGCAAAGAAGGGTCCACCCCGGGGCCTTTCCTCATCTGGGGGTGGAGTAACCAAGGGGTGGCGTCTAGGAGGAGCTGAACCACTAAACTCCGCCCTTTGGTTTACTTAGCACCAGATTACTGTGCCAAGCCCTGTCCTAAACTGTGTGCTGGGGCAAACACAAATCCATGCCCCTGTCCCTTGGGAGCGGGGGCCTCTTCCCCCACCCCATGGGCCAGCTTGTCTCCCCCCCTCATTTGGGGTGACCCGGAGAGAGTCTGAAGTGATGGGGAGGGCTGGAGCTGATGTCTAGGAGGCTGGGGCACGTGTGACAGGTCCCTGTTGACTCTGCCTCCCTTTCTTTTCTCTAGACTTCAGCTCTTATCGTATATGGAGACCAGGACCCCATGGGTCAGACCAGCTTTGAGCACCTGAAGCAGCTGCCCAACCACCGGGTGTTGGTCATGGAGGGGGCAGGGCACCCCTGTTATCTTGACAAACCCGAGGAGTGGCATACAGGGCTGCTGGCTTTCCTGCAGGGACTGTGAGGCCCAGCCCTGCTGTCTGAGTGGGCTGCTTGCCTGCCTTGGCTCTCTCTCATTCTCTCTCTCTCCCCCTCCCTCCATGGGCACCTGCTCATCATGCACATGCAACAGGTGTGTCTGTCTGTCTGTCTATCTGGTTCTTGTCTTTTGGGGTCTGTCTTTTCCTCTTCCTCTTTCTCTTGCAGTGACAGACTGAAGAGATGAAATCAAGAGAAAAAAATTCAGGAACCAAGGGACGGAATCTGGTGGAGGGTAATCCGTTAGTTGAGCTTCTCTTTTAGGCTTTCCTGCTTGGCTTGCACTCCTTCCTCTGCTCTGCCCAGCCTCCCCCTCCTACCTCCTACCTCCTCCTTTGGCTACCCTGCAGGACCGTCACACCCCTCACTCCTGCATCTTAGGCCACAGATACATACATGCCCACATGCATGCTTACACATGGGAGCCATCTATGTTCCCAAATGTGACTCTTCACTTGGGAGCAACCACGTAGGTACACGCGACTCTGGAATGACACGCACACTGTCACGCGCAGCTTTGCATTGCATGCACATACACACATGGATACTTGTGCTTCCACACAAGCACTTGCACAGGCACATGTGCCCTCCCAACCATGCAGCACCCCACTGTCTGGGAAGGTGGGGCCCCCCAGGGCCAGCTCTTGCAGGAGTTCCTCTGCCAGGCTTAGAGTGTGGCCAGCCCTGGACTCCATTCACCTACAGGTTGCAGCTGGCCCCAGACCAGAATTGCCCCGCAAAAGGGAAGGGCCACCCCTTTGACCCTCAGATCTCCCTGCTTTTCTCCGTCCTTCTGGGTGCCCCACACCTCCCCAGGTTATTAGGCCTGGGTCTTCTCAGCCAAGCCTGTTTTCTGCTCTGAGGTTTGGGGGGTGGGGAGAGGAGAGTGGAGGTCGGTGAAATAAAATGATGCAGTTAGACCCCCCAGACTCTTGCTGTCTCCAGAGCGCCGCCCCTCCCCCACCCCTTGGGACCGCCACTGCGGGCCCCTCCCCCACCGTAGCGGGTCCAGATGGTCCCCCTGCCCTTTGTCCACCAGGCCAGATGGAGGGGAAGGGAGATTGGATTCCCCTCACCACCCACACACATCCAGGTGCCAAGAGACTCAGCTGTGGGGGGAGGTGGAGGTCAGTGGGACCAGGCTGAGCCGATTACGGAGAGGGGGAGGTAGATTTGCTTTCTAGGGGGCAGTGGCAGGGGTGCAGTGGGGCAAGGAGAGGGCTTGGGCATAGCCCAGCTGCTCCCCCTCCCCGTATCCATTCCTGAGTAGAGTACTCAACTGTGCCGCGACCCTAGCCCCAAAAGGAATTCTGGGGGTAGCTTTGGGGGAATCACGGTTTGAGGTGCACAGGGTCACACCGCTCTCAGACTCCTCCTCCAGCTGGTCCGGTAACCTGTCCTGGGCGGACAAGGGCCGGGCCTCGCGGAAGCTGTGGGTGGCTGAAGGGTGCGGGTCTTGGTGGGTGAGAGCCACGCGCGGGGATGGATGGCGCAGAAGCGAGGAGAGCCGGGAACCAGGCCCGGCGGAGGGTCGAAGCCCGAGCTCCGAGCGACCTGAGCCGGAGCGGGGCAGCGCGGGGGCTGGCGGCGGGGCCGAGGCCGAGATGGGGGTGCAGGGGGCTCGGCAGAGGGGCCGGGCGGAAGGACTGGCCGGCCGAGAGCAGAGGGACTCGGAGTCGGACGCAACGCGGGCGGCGCGGGGAGGACCGCGGCTGGGACCGCGCTTCATGGCCCCCCCCCCGGCCCCCCGACTCCCGGGGGCTGGAGGAGCTGCGAGGGG